TACATGTAATATAATAATAATAAATTTATTGCCTCTGTGTAAACAAATTTACATAGGATAAGCACAGCAAAAAAGAGTTTTAAAATACATGTACTAAAAAAATATATGTAGTAATAAAAAACAAACAAACCATATTTATGGTTATATAATATCCGATAAGTGACCGTGTGATATTTGGACTTGGAACATATGAAATTTACTGCACTATGTTGTCTTAGGGCAAAATGTGAACATAACTACGTTGTCTTAGGGCAAAATGTGAACATAACTATGTTGTCTTAGGGCAAAATGTGAACATAACTATGTTGTCCTAGGGCAAAATGTGAACATAACTATGTTGTCTTAGGACAAAATGTGAACATAACTATGTTGTTTTAAGGCAAATATTATGATTGCTTAGAAATGCATCCTTTAATTTCTGGTATAATAATATTTTTATTGCCAACATTAAAATGAATACGATGACTGTCATTCCAGAAATGTGGAAGTTAGTTGGAAAGATTATTTTTTGCTGGGTGTATAAAAAATTACTGGTAGTTAACAACTTAATGCTTGCATATGAATTTATATATTTGTATTGCCATTGTAATTAATATTTTGTTCTTTGTATTTGGACTTCACTAATTTATTGATTTATTTTTTACCTTACTGTGTATGTAGGTTATAAGTTTTGTTCATTACCTGTTGTCAACACAAATGTTCATTTACGAGTGCAATTAAGTTTAAAGCCTTTTTAATTTTGAGTAACTTGGCCAAAAATCAAATTGGAATTGCAGCTTTTGTGTTACATTGATCAAAAGCTAATGTATTATTGACTAAGCTATTATTTGTTTTCCGTAAAATAAATCTTGTCATGCATTGTTGTTTGAATTCTGCTTTGAGGGAAGTATTGATAATCTATGTTCACTCAGATGTAGTGGTAACATATAAGGTACATGTACCTAATGGCTATGCAGATAACATCTCAAGATTCTAGTGTGCTTCACAGACTAATTTAATTTTGATCGTTGAACAGAGAATCCAGTGTGTGATTCATCACCATAATGACCATATCATATGGTGTTGAAAACTCAATCACAACCAAATTTACAAATATCAAATATTACAATGCACATATTCAGGATTTTTTAGAAAAAAACTGCAAGAGGGAGCACTGCAATTCAGCGACACCACCAAGTGGGGGACATAGGCTTCTACCTACCAGGGTGTGGAGCTTTTGATAATTCTAAGTTAAAATGGAGCATTCTAGGGCTTCCTTGGGGCCAAAATTACTATCAGACAGGTCACAGTTGAAGAATTTTATGGTTGCCAGAGGATCTGCTTCCCAGGGCAAGAGGCGCATGGCCATAGCATGAGGGCGCTGCGCCCCTTTTCCCTTGTTCAAAAAAATACCTGCATATTACTTAACATGTCAAAGTCTGCAAACAAAGTATTGCTGACAGTACAACTTTTAATATTTTGCTTATTAATTTGCATAAAATCAAATTTCACAGCTACAACATTCAAATTTATGATTTTACCTGATTTTGTGAAATTCACAAATATTCGTCTCTAATGAAATGATACGTACTTTTAACAATTTAATTGTCACTGCAAGAAATTTTTGCAAATCAATATTTTATGGTATTCACTGACAAGTTGTTTTATAGGAACCTAGGAAAATTATTAATGTTTGAAAAGTTTTTACTGACTTGCTAATTGATGAAAATTTGTGATTTACAGTATCCTTTCAGCACAGGTGGTGGTGGATAGTGGGGGGGGGGGGGGGGGTGTTTGAATGATTGAGTTTATGTGAATGTGGAATACAATTCATCATACTTGAATAAAATGAATAAATGTTCATTATAAAATTGTTGTTATTTAATTAATCATTGATGTGTGCATACAAGTTGAAAAATTGCAACTTTTGTAAGACACTTGTAAGCTTTACTTTGTTCCCAAAATAAAAAAGAACCTTGGTGGTTATCATTTGCAAAATGTTTTTAAAGAGCAGTAAAACACATAGCAGTATAGTCCAAAATAAAGCTGAGAAGCCTTGTCTTCTTGGGAAATTTATAAATATAGGTTTTATAATAGTGTTGTGACAAAAGGAATTATGGAATCAAGATGGAAGGGGTGGTTGCTATAATGCTAGTAGTCACTTCAGTATTGTTAAACCATGGTGCTACTTTAATATTAATGTTTTCTAATTAAGAAGAGATTAACATAAATGGATAGAAATTCATCAATCAATCAACTTTTTTAAAGTAGCTTTAGGGACAGGTGGGAGCACTCATCTAGAAATACCATTCTTCATAAATAGGTTTGCTCAGTTACATGTTGTCTAGCTTCCTATGAACTGTAAGCAGTGAAGGTACGTAGTCTGTATTATATGTACAACTAAGGGTTAGCCTTGTAAATCAGTGAACAGCTTTTCAGAAATCAGTTTGGCAAGTGAGACAGAGATTGTTTTCAATCAGTATCGCTCACTGTAAGTGCATGACCATCTGCCATGTCTGTGTGTATGGTCTTTGTTTGTATAGTTCCTTTCTTAAGTATTTCTCTTGTTACGAGACACAATGGTGTTACATAAAGCTGTTTTTATATTTCTTAGTTTAGCTACAATAGTAAATGTTTGTTTTGCTGTTTTCAATTGATACATTAATGACTGATTGATTGCCTTACAAATTAATCTTGTTCATATTTTTTATTTTTAACTACTAATACTAACTACATGTATTAATAAATCTGAATTTTTTTCCCTGCAATTAATACATTCTCATTACAAATTGTACTTATCTTTGTTCCCTAGTTTGTACAAATTTGGTTTGTCTTATATAAATGTTTACTACATAGGAAATACTTAAGTTTGACCCATGGTGTCATCCAACATTGTATAGCTGGCAGCAAAGACCATTCAGGAGATGTGAAAATACCAAACTAATTAATTTCCCTACCTTGAGTTTACATTTTGTTTTTGAGTTCACTCCCACTTCTTTTTAGGAATAATGATTTATTTTTGAAACCAAAAATATAAATTTTCCCAGAAATCAGTAGCTAAGTCGACGTCTATAATTGGAGATATAAGCAAATTATCATGCTTAAAGAAATATTTAAACACTTAGGCCTTACCATTTTATAAATTTTATAAAACTCGGTATATTTCTCCCTAAGTAATCATACAGGAAGGACTTGTCAAACCACAGTTTCAGGAAATGTTCTATTCTTTGCATTTAAATATTTTAATATTGATGCGAGTGACTTTGAATAGCTAACGAATTAAATTCTTTAGATGACCCAATACACCATGTTGATCTATTCTTATATGTCTTGAATAATTCAGTACCTCCTGGATGTGGCATTTCCACTCATTGTCTCACATTTCTATGATTCCTGTCTCCACACATAACGTCTATTGCATCCTGTTCTGTTTTACGGCCGGCAATTTTCAGACGAACCGATGTGTACTTTGAAAAGCATAAATAGCATCAATTTTTAATGTTTTGCTTATTTTCCTGATTGGAATACATGACATTTTAATCTGTTAATCTTTTTTTTCTCTCTAAAATGACTGCAATGTATATTGTATTGAATGAAACCAGTATATAACAATAGAGAGGATCTTGTCATTTCTCAAAATTTTTTTTAGTAAGAAACAGGAAATAATCGTATGTTGGAGCAATGGTAATTATAATAGCTATAAATTATTAAGAAACTCGTATTTATTTTTATGAAAAGATGCTTTAACATGGATTACCATGGAAATCGATCCAAACTTGTCAATCTTTGCATTTTTAAAGGCAAATATTTATCTAACAAAATATTTTGTATGGTACTTGGTTGAAAAAACTACAAGTGTACAAGTGTTGATGTGTAGCAATTACCGGTAATAACAACATTGAAACAACATTGTAAAATCTAAAATATCGAGGAAATTGTCAGTCTTCTGATCTCCCTGGTTTTCTAGGTCAGTCATGTTGGCAACAATGATCTTGAGAAATCTTTTCTGCTTTAAGCATGCTGTTGTTAAATTCCATAATTGAATCAAATCATTCTCATTAAGTTCCTTGTTGAGACAAAGGTATTCCCTCTGAGAAAAACTCTTACCCTTTGTACAGGTTCACCTTGAATACAGAGATTGATGATGGCATGTTAGTCTCAAGGAAACTAAGCCAAAGATTTAGACTAAGTGAACTGTATACTGCTTTTTATGAAATTCCGTCTTACAATATATGGGTATTAAAAATTCATATTGGCAAAATATTTACAGTGTATTGCACGTTTCATGAAGTGTCTTGTTTTCGAAAACCAAGATTAATTGATCATTTTGAACTTGAAGTATTTAGAGAAAAAAAGCTTTTAACAGGTGGTCCCCATCTCGTTACTTTATTTACTTACATTTTATTGCATTGTTAGAAAAAGAACATTTCTATAAATTTTAGCAATAAATATGTAGGTAACAAAAACTAAAAAGTAATACGTGTACTAATACTAATATCAGCAAAAGACAAATTATGCAAATTCAATTGGTTTGAAATCTGTTGGTTTACCAAGTTAAACCAGAGTATTAGCCAGGAATTTGAAAGTGCCTGTCAAAAATACGCTAAAAAGAGATTTTGTGCATTATATTTGACTAAATTTACAAGGCACAAATGCAAAAAATTAGAAAAAATAATAAAATGTTTCCTGTCAATTTGCCAGACTGAGAGGTAGCAGGCTAATATACTGAGTTTGATAACTAAAATTCTCATTTATGTCTGATATTGTGATAAGATTCATGTCATCGTTTGTGACTTGCATGCTGTTGATGATTGTCGCTTGACATGTACATCTCCTGCATATAAAAAGAACAGCTTTGATATCCTTCAATATCCTTCATTTTTTCAGCCATCAATTGTTTGTAAATGTAAAATTCTAATACATGCTTCTTTGTTATGCAGAATGTATGCTCCCTTAAACTTAAGTATGGTAGTTGATATGAAACTTGCATATTGTGCCTAAAAAAACATCCACACTCCAACATGGTGGCTGTGACATGGTCTGTAACATTATATACAATTTTATCACATTGGTGGGCGTTGTGTTGAAATTGAATTCCCAAAATAGAAAAAAAAATGTTAATTCAGAATATAGTTGATCAGTTGGTACATTTAAAATGAAATTTGATTGAATCTGAATCTGTGGCAGCTCTGATATGCGGGGAAATGTGGGCTTATATATTTAGCTCATGCTCCTGGACAATTTTATAATTTATAACTGCTGTCTATGAAACCGTAACATGTAACTCAAATTACCATCAAGAATGAAATAATAAATTTTATCAAAAGTGTGACAATTTGATATTCATTATACTTTACACTTTTCAGTTATTTTCATTGAAGTCATATAAATCAATATAAATGTGACTTGAATTTTGAATTTAAGACGATCATCAATAACATCTTTAAAAATCATTGTTCTATCCTTGTCAGCAGGTCAAACCACTTAAGTCGGAAATAGGGGTGGAAGAGGGTTAATATTCAATGTGGTCTTTAACGTAATATACCATCTATTTTTAATTCTGCAGAGGTTAAAGCAGACTGTTGAAATCGAAGAGAGTGTCCTCGGCATTCTACAGAAGGAACAGAGATCAGTGACAACAGCCGAACTTGTGAAAGCATCAGGACACGGAGAGAAAAAGGAAATCAACAAAATATTATACAAACTTCAACGGCAGGGAGTCATCATAAAAGTGTGCGAATCTCCCCCCAAATGGGGACTCAAGCATCCTGTTACTCTGGAACAAGACATCCACGATAATACACAAGAAGTAGACAACGTGGATATAAACATTGATGCTAATGAGGACAGCATTGCTGATGAGGAACCTGATGAACAAGATATAGATTCAATGGAAACTCAGACTGTAACTATGGCAACCGCAATAAAAATGGAACAGATGACTTCAAGTGAAATTAATGTGAACAATGGTCGCGATGAAGTAGAAATGAAAAGTGAAACCATTGATGTACATCTGCCAAAGACCAACAGTAATGGCGATTTCAAACTTCAAATGCAGATGGCGGCAGTGACAGCAGTGCAGGCATCCAACAATGATATGATGGTCGTAAATAATAATAAAGAAACTCTGAGGGCTCAGTTGTTAAATGCACTGAATGCACAAATGGAACCTATCCATGCAAATAACCTTGCTAAACTGGTTGGATTGAATAGCAAAAAAGATATTAATCCAGTCTTGTTTCCGATGCAGAATATGGGACTAGTTTTGAAAGTGTCAAACGTCCCTCCAAAGTGGATCATTACCGATAAAGGTACTGAATCTTTGACAGCATCACCGACGCAACAGGCAGCGACTTTACAGATACCGCCCGATCCTCAACAGATCATACAACAGTTAGGTGCTAACACTTTCATGCAACCTCCAGCATCGATGGTACAAGTCCATAAAAGTGACCTTGAAAAGTCTCTCTTACAGGCCCTGCTGATGCGTGAGAATTATAAAGCTGCTGAACTTGCCAGAGCCGTTGGATTTCAGAGCAAGAAAGACATCAATCCTACACTGTTCCACTTACAAAGGAGAGGATTAACTAAAAAGATAAATGACTCTCCTCCTACCTGGTGTATCACTGTAAAAGGGAAAGAACAGATTGAATGTATTTTAGCGGAGTGTGGGGAAGATATCCAGTCACGAGGAGAAGGACTTGAGGAAGATGAAAACTTAGAGAGACGAGGGTCTCTAGCAGAAGATGAAGTGATGACACAGCAAATCACTCTACCAGCCAACATGTGTACTGGTACAAGTTCTTCCTTATCTCCTGCTGCTACGTTTACCAGTGAAACATTTGCTGTGATCAATAAGAACCCCATCAGTGCTTTGATGGAGTATGCACAGTCTAGACAGTACAAATGTTCCATAGAAGTGCTGTATCAGAGCGGTCCACCACATAGTCCACGGTAAGTCTTATTTTTATTTAAATATGGAAACATTGTATAAACTGGAAGAAATGCTGTTTCTGAGAGCGCAAGATGGATAACCATGGCAACATGAATACACAACATTCAGCAATTCAGAAAATTAACTACTGCAACATTTGCTGGGATATTTATTGTTTAATACTGTAGTTCACAATGAAATAGCTGCATGCCATTTTAGGGAATTTGACTCAATACAAAATCTTAATTTAGCTTAGCAACAATTTCATTATCAGTTACTTTTTGTAAATTAATTAAAATAACATGCTAGCTAAAATGTTTTTACAGTATATATGCTGGATGGTGAATCATTAATATAGATGCAGTGTGTATTTTATCTTGGTTTAGTTTTGTGGTCACCATGTCAAACAGAATTAACATCATTGATGATGGAACTGATTTGTATTGCAGTCAGAATTCAAATACATTTCAGTTTAAGCTCAGCTTGAACTATTTTAATGAGTGGGATGATGTGATCACAAGACAAAATGATGTCACCTTGAGAAATATTCATGATGTACTGTCACACTTTCTTACAATGGAAGCTGAAATAAACAAATCAGAATTTTTTTAGTGGTGTTTGTTTTGACTTCAGCACTCTCAATTCTTACAAGTTTGATTGAAATGAAACTTTGAATTTAAATAAATAACAACCAAATTGATTTATGAAAAAATAATTCTTGAAAATTGTACAATTTTGGCAAAAATGTTGCTGAGCAATCTTTGTAATTGGGCTGTACTGTGCGCACATCATGATTAATACACTCTATTACAATGTACCTCATTGGAAGGTCATAGACGTTGAAAAAAAAGTGAAAATATTACAAAAATCAAATTTGTTTTTATCACAGCATTTTACAGGAGAATTAAATATGTGATATATTTACCGTCGTGGAATTCAGGTATTGTCATGTTGTAATCACTGACCTAAGACAGCAAACTTTCAAGATTGCATCTGACTCATAAATTTATGAAAATACATCTCTTTTAAAATTCATTTATTAACAGTAAATACATATTAATATGAAAATTTAAAAAATTGTATTAGTGGAAATTAGTGAAATAAAAAAAAATATACTGAGCATGGTGGATATGATATCAAGTGTTCTGAAACATTCATTCACAAACATAAAGTTTACCTGATATATTTTTTGTTCAAACCATAACTGAATAATAAGCAATGCAGAAAAATGATCATTTGGGAAATGTTTTGTTTCTTCAGGTGTTCATAAATTTTACCACATACCACCAGTCAACAGTTTTTGTTTTCATTAATAAGAGTCTAAGTAGAATCAAACAATATTAGTCTGAAAAGAAAAATCTGAAGCGGAAGAAATTTTTGGGAAAAAAACAGCAAAATTCTGTGATCGGTTTAAATTCTAGAAGCCAATAAATCTATAAAAATCTGCTAAATAATTAGGTGGTCCAAATTGTAGAGATATTCTGGGAAGCTCATATATAAACACAGACAGCAAAAAAACAGTTCTCACTCAGAATTGAAATTAGAAATTGGTTGCAATGAAACATTTGTAAATTGTACACATCTACTTACACAGCTGTAAATTACAATTATGTTAGAATTGGGTTTGTTGAAGAGTTGCTCACGGCAATACAGGAATTGTACAATTTGTGAATAATTCATTGCAGTAGAGTAAAATGGCGGCAATTGGCTACTCAATTCAATTAAACAAGGTAGCATTCATGTTTATATTGCTCACAGCTATTCATTAGTTATTTCTAAACTAATAGGATATATAGTTGTTTATTGAGTCTCGAGACATGCAATTCTACTTTTGCCAGTAAGTGAACTAGTTAATATTTAGGGACTGCATCATGCAAGAAAAGTTAGTATCTTTTGTGAATTTAGCTGATGTGTGTATATAATATTAAAATATGAAGAAATAAAATATATCATATTGAAATTAAATTCCCCTTATAATTGTTTTGCTTCCTACCATTGGTGACATTTTATGTATAACTTAGACAAACAGATAGTCATTAAAGGAAGGTGTTAACCTTTTTGGAGCATGTAGATCAACATTCTAATTGCACTTTGTAATTTATTTTAAAATTGCTTAGACCCTATAGCACTCATAAAAATATAATTTATTCCAAACACAAAATTAGTAATTTTATTGAAAAAGCGCACCAGTGGCTTACTTTAATTTTTCAATGATATTTTTCAATGATTTGCTCATGTAAACCATAAAAAAAATTAGTATTTTTAACTGGAACCCTGTGAGTGATAAAAATGGTGAATAAATTCCAAGTGAACATTAAACACTAAAAAGTAAAATGTGATTTATCACAATTGCATATCAACTTTTACAAGCATGTGTTATATTTTACCAATCAATTTGTATTGAGACTAATTTGCACAATGTTGATGACATTCAAAGTACCATGGTCATTGCAGTAAAAACCCATGTTGTTAGCTCATATCACATTATGTATGTTATGGATTGCATGCAATATACCATAACGCATCTACTAGTAAAATACATTGGTTTGTTCAAACCAAATTTGAATGCTTGCTTTCATAAAAATGTTAATTTGTTCACATCCTTTTCTGTTTCATTTTCCTCGTAAATGACTAGTGTTATATATGCAATAAATAAAAAATAAAATATTCATTGACATTATAAGTTGTTGAAAGTTTGTTACATAATTTATGTGACTAACTACAAATATGCTCATTTTCATGGTTACAAGAGATTTTTGGTGGCCATTTTGAATAGAAAAATGGTGATACTTGAAGTTTTTTTTTCTCAAGAGAAGTAATTAACCTACAGGGAACTTGTGTCTGTCCTTGAAAAATCAATGTATGCATAGTCTTGTGCATTATTTTGCAATTGAAATAGACTCAATCAATTACTTGAGCAATTCCTATTTTTATTTGGCACCAGAATAATAACACATTCGAAAAATAAAATCATATTCATTAAGTTCTTCATTTTGTTCCTGAGAAGTAAAATTAAAACGCCAGGTACAATGTTTGCAACACTTTCCAATATCTGAATCACTAGACAGTATGTTTTGATTAGTAACATGTATGTTTTCACCCGCCTTTCAGAATATTAAACAACAAACATACAAACCACATTTAGTATCTATACAATTGTGTGATATAAGTGGTTTTGTGCACACATGGTAATGGGTATCATTATAGGAACATTCAACAACCTGTGTACCCTGTTAGTTGTCATGCCCGATAGGTCAATAACAATCACTGGGGTATTCCACACTTCCATCATTAGCATATCAAAAAGCTGAATCTATTTCTCTACTATAGTTTTTCCCACTTAGATGTGAAACATTGGCTTTCTGTATTTCCCTATACAATTGCCCTTTGTACTTATATGTACTGGTTGTAATGCAAGCAATATGTAAATCACAATACAGATTGCATGTGCTTTGCAAGTATCATCCAACCAATTATTCTGGCATTTGATTGTGGTGCATATTAAATACAATATTGGTGCCCATTAAAATTATATACATGTACTACTGTAATATCTAGAGTTTCGGAATACAATAACTTTGCATGAACAAAGAAGTTGGTTATGTGTGAGTAATGTATGTAAACAGCTCTCATTATATTATTACTAGAAGTAAAAGAAAGATATGTGAAATAATTAGGTTATCATAGGAAAATGTATACTATGCACTCAGGCAGTACTGGGTCACATCAATCTCTGCTATGTATCTGTAGATACATTCTCATGCATACACTCTCAGGATAATCTTTTACTATTTATAAATCATACTTTATGTAAATTTATATACAAAATTATATTAAGAATATGTGAAGGCCATTTACCATTATAGTTATTATTTTTGCTGACTTTTACTCATAATGCCCTACATTGGAATCAACCAATTGTCTCCATTCTACTATTTGAGTCCTTGAAAAGCCATTGTGTCTGATATTTATATTAATTAATAACTAACCTTATTTGTATAATTTGTTGTGCTTTGATTGTACCAATATTCTAAATTACTTGTAAACTAAACTGAAAGTATGAGATCATTTTGTTATGCAAACAATTTAGAAATATCCTGGCAAAACCTGTTCCTTGGAAAGTTTTTCCTCAACATCTCGTAATCAAAAAACCCAGTAGAGATTTATCTCTGGTTAATTGCCACACACATCAAAGTATTAGTAGAATGCATATGAATGTTTTCATTTTGGGCTCAGTGATGGACTCCTGTTGTTCACTCTCTTTACAAGGCTTTTGTTGGTGCCTTTCCTTTACATATAGATATATAGCGATTTGCTTGTCAGGACATACTGGTAAATACAATAAGTAATCAATGATGATTACTGGAACCGTTCAGAAATGAAAACAGTGGTAATATATATAAAAAAGTTTGACATTTCTTCTTTGGCATAAACATAATAATAATGATTTGGTTAGAAGACAGCTTAAATGTCAGCAGAAAATATCAAAGAAATAAATTGTATAGTTGCCATGTATTTCATTTGAATTAACAATTCTACTCTGAAAGAAACTGTTCTCATTTTTTATAGGCAGCAATAATGTAGTTAATTAATTCTAAGTTTTTTGTCATTGCTGCTCATTATAGTATAAATTTCTCTTCATCAGATGAGAAATTTAAAAGCATGTAAATGAGAAAACATAGAATACAGTAGTTTTTGTTCATCTTTGTGTAGTTTACATTGAGTGATATAACTTCATTCTCAAATAAAGTACATGAAGGGCTTTTTTTTTGTCTAGTGTGTCGCCCAGTTTCAATGTGTAATTTATGGCAGCTAAGTCTAAATTTGGAATGTTCTTACTGTCTATCATTCAGTGTTGATGCTTGGAGAGAAATGGTTTAGGCGGTTTCCTTTCATAGTATCAAAATGAATCGTGGTGCAGCACTCCTTGATGCATCTCCATGTAGTATGTGGTGTGCAAGCAGAGCGCATACCTTCACCTGATTATGTCGCATTGCAAATATAAGTGACTTTTTCCTGTGGTGGCTTGGAGATACTGACATCAAGTTTAAGTGGTACATGCGTTTTTTCTCATATCAAATGCAACGTTTCGCCTTTTCTATTGAGATGCAAATTTGTTCCTGTATCTCAACTCTGTGTTTTTTAGAGAAATTGTCTTTCCTAGGAATTGGCATTTCTCAAGCAAACAAACCCACATACACTTGCAAGGCCTTCAGATATATTTCGATGTGTTTATGTTTGTCCATTATATTTTTTTCTCAACTCTGAAGTATATTTTGTAAAGGAATTTAACAGAGGTGAGACAGTGTTTACACTCTGTTTGAAACACCTTGTCATAACATTGTCTCAGTACTGTTATCCTCACTTTTGCCATGCAAAGAAAAGATTGTACTAGACAGTTCCATCTGGAATTTGTATGTATGATTCAACCTTTTCACCACCAGTTCCCTTTTTTCATCACAAATTCACATAATAATCCTGTTTATAGTCTGCACTTTCCTTCTGAAGATTAGGACAAAATAGCCGATTTTTTTTTATAAAAACTGAAAATTTACTCAAATTTTGTCTGCCCCAAAATTAGGGTTCATTTCCAGAATTATTGAAAAATATAAAAAAAAAATTGGGTGAAATGGTCAATATCTAGATTGTCAACAAACATGGTTGTGATAGCATACATGTATGAGCATAGCATACATAATGAATTGTTAAATATCTGATCTGACCAGCTAAATAAGATTCTGAATGTACTTGTACTGGTATCATATACAAAAAACCTTAGAGCTAGGTCTGCCATAAATGACATTTATGCATAATATTAGCCAAGACTTGTTGAGTTGTTGAGTTAGAGTAATTGATGAAGGGTTGGTGTGTGTAGGGGGAGTGACAAAATGAAAGTTGACAATTCATCCTACAGGAATATTCACTAATAGAGGGCGCTGTTGACTATGTATTAATTTGTCTGTCTTTTTGTTTAACAGGTTTACCATGGCGGCTATAGTGAATGGACGCCGTTTTCCGTCCGTTATCAGTAAATCTAAAAAAGACGGTAAACGAGAAGCTGCAGATAAAGCATTGCGTGTCCTGATTGCTGAAGGATTAATTCAAACTCAACAAACCCAGCCATCAACGTTAGCCAATGATAACAAGGTAACCACTCATATGACCCAAAAAGCCAAATTACGTGTTGTTCATAATTTACTTGCATATTTGATACGATTTATTATCTTTTTTTTGCTTTACAGATTCTAAATGGTGAAAGTCTTCATGCTGATAATATTGCTGCCCTTAGCCATCAGACCTTTAATGCGGTTGTGGCTAATCTCCCAGAATGCATTTCAGGTCGAAAGATTTTGGCAGCACTAGTGATGTTAAGAGAAACAGAAGAACTTGGCACTGTCATAAGTTTAGGAACTGGTAAGGGTTCAAACGGAAAAAAAGTGGGATGATAATATTTATGTATGCAACGTTACTTGTTTTTATATTGAGTATATGAAAGCTTATGATAAATGGAAAGTTCTCTCTTGTTTTTTTTCCTTCCCTTGTTGAAATGAATCAGTTTTGTTTTAGGCAATATACTGGATTGAACAAAAGCAAAAAAAAAACACAAAGTGTACAAAATGATATTTCTGACTATAGAGGGCTCATTTCTCGTTATTCGTGCAAGATATTGATTGCCACTATAATCATATTTATGGAAATTTTGTGTGTTTCTTGGCACTTAAAACGCAACATGTTTTTATTGTACTAGGCAACCGTTGTGTGACAGGTGATATGTTGAGCTTGGAAGGCCATACAGTCAACGACTCACATGCTGAAATCATAACAAGAAGATCATTCCTAAGGTCAGCATAACAATCTTTTATGTGGCTTGCAAGATATTTCAGTGTGATTATCTTTTGCCATTTTGTAAATAATTTGTATCAGTATTTCTTGATAGAACATCATACTGACAATTAATTTGTATTGAAAATTCCTATGAAATGCTAGCTACTGTCTCGCCCAAAATCATTTATTGGTACTGTAAAATTACTAATTTATTAAGCACAAAATAAATTAGTGAAAAAATTAGTTTTAAACTCAATCTACAACAATTTTATTTTTATGTACACACATGTATTCTAAAACGAGGCTCATTATTAACTTCTCATTTGCATATTCAAATACCCCTAGTGATGTACATTGTGTATGCAGGAGAACTTGCTGGTCAGCGTTCATTGTCGATATGTATATAAGGCACATTTCTTATTGCGTGCGAGTGAATTGGCATCCTGACTAAATACAATTCATGTTATATTATACTATAAGGGACATTGAGATTAATATTTTTCTCGCCAAATTTTGTTTAGATATGCTGCTGTGCTACTATTTTTAGAAACTTTAAACAATTTATGTTTAATTATTCTATAAGGAACATTGAGATTAATACAGTACTTATATTATTTGAGGAACATGAATATTAATTATTTTTTTATGTAATTATGCTGACTTCATTGTGCTTGTCCACATTTGGTTAGAATTTTTACATCTAAATTCTTGCCAGTATTTTTCACATGAAATGTTTAGTTATAATATTGCATTGTTTCAGAACTTATACTCACTTTTGCCATGCCAAAAAAAAAAGATATTGCATCTTTAGTTTGTGTCCATCTATTCATTTATTGTTTAATCCCTTGTGCCTTTACTTGTTTCTTTTCTAGTTAAAACAAATTCTTCATTAAAATTTCTATAAAAGTCAGTAGGAAATCTTCCTATAATTAACATCATTTGCATT